GCAACGCATTATTACACAGCGGCGCACATCCATATCACAACGGACGCGCGCTCTTGTTTCATTCAAATACAACTTGCCGTCTTGCGTCTCCGGTTTTTGATTGTATTGCAAAAATGAAATCAGAGTTGATTTATTGCTTACATAGTTTGATAATATTGGTGTGATATATCTTGTCTGGACGATTGTTTTACAAAATGAATTCATAAACAGGTAAGATTTAAAACATTAGCTAATCTCATTATCAATTCAATATGTTCCCGTAATTATGTGGTAAAAATAAAATCGGTTTAATACGTGATGTATCTATACTTTACTATCCCTTAAAATATCACTCTTAATAATAGTCTTGTTTGAAGTTGTTAGTTCGTCTTTGGCTCAAATCCACTTGCTACGAACTTTTCTTTGCGGAAGCTTCACGTCTATTTCAAGTGAGTGACATAAAATGTTTCAACTCAAAACAACATTTCATGCCCAATTGTTTCCCAGCCGTAGTTTTGGTATTAAGGTCAAAGTTAACTTGCCTTGAGTTCGGGTGATGATCACACAAGACGACTCGGCAGATTTGAAGTGTTTCTATTGCAGTGACTTTTTGTTCGGCAGACAGGGTGACCATCCTCGATCAAGTTTCCCTCAGGACTTTTGTAAAACCCAAAATATGACCACACCTCAGATTTGGTCCTCTTAAAAGGCTGAAAAATCTCCTGAGCACAGTCACTGCCTTCCACCATTCCTTCTCTAAGAGTAATTAAAAAAAATATTGCGTGCTGCGCGCCTGCGTCAGACTGGCCGACAGGATTCAGTGAGTTATTAAAATCGCGATAATCAAACACGGTTTTAATGATAATTAAATTTTAAACGATAATACCAACCGTCAGTACATTTTATCACAGTTTATTGTGAAACCGGTTATCGTCCCATCCCTACTTTGCAGTAACCAATACACTTCTCCATCCATTTACGCTTCTTTCCATATGGTGGTGTGACTCCCCTTCTGTCCGGCGTTAACGGCTGCAGTTTACTTGGCGCGTCAGCACACACAACGGCTGCAACTACAGTGTGGTCTTCCAAGTGGACCAGCACCACAACCATCTGGATTGAGCCGAGTAGGGGACATCTCTAGGGTCTTCAAGTGGGCACCTTCCGTCCTCAGGGTTTCGTCGACTAGCCCATGACACCTCAAGAGGGCCCCCTCCGTCCCCCACTCAACTCATCCCAGCTTACTGACCTCTACATTCCTCCTGCTGCTGAGACCTAACAACAATCTCTCCGCAACCCAACCATATGCACCAACCCGTTTGACTGCGTTAATGCAGTTTCAGGGGCAACAGTGACAACGCATTTAAATTAGGCAAGGGTGTAGTTACATTCAAGTTATTTTAAGGGTATTATTTTTTTCAAGGTAAACATTTTTTAAATGTCATTTTGTGATCAAAACTGAGTTAAGGGATAAAATAAACAGGGGGACTTTAAGAAAATCAAAACTTCCAATAGAAAGATTGCTTTTTCAACAGTGCTGTGGAAATTGGCAAATCAATGTTAAGTAGAATTATTGCAATTAAGACTGTGAAAAGATACCAAAGCTCACCTGCTTCTGCGTTTTGAGTATGAAGGTGAACGGTACTTTCTGAGAAAGGGAGGGCATGAAATCAGACTGATGCATATTGACAATAAATAAATAATAACAACAACTGGAACAGTGCGTTGTCTTACCTTTCATTACTACGGCTCCGAGAGCGGTAGCGGCGGCCTCGAGATCTGGACCGAGAGCGAGATGTTGATCTAAAAACAATATGAAAGTTTAACAACAGACTCAAGTAGAAAGGCAATAAAAATAAGACAATAATTCATATACCTGCTGCGTCGGGTTCGCCTCTTGCTGAAACGATAACAGTCATAGGCATAATGACCACTCTCCCCACACTGGTAACATCGGTCGTTGGGGTCAAATTGCCTGCGGCTGGGACGGCCATAACGGGACTTTCTTGACATACCGGTAGACAGCTCAACTCTGACACGGGCTCCACAAAGCACCCTGGGATATTATAGATCAGACGGTTACTTGTTTCCCCATGTCAAACAAAGGTGTGTACATATGTGATCCAACTGTTGGGACATCCTAGACTCCCCTGTTAGCCTTTTTATTTCTGAGCCATACATTTCACCTAGATGCAGATAAGGTTCAGAAATTAAAAACAACCGAACTCAACAAACAGGCTACAACAAATCTGCATCTAGGAAAATGCCACAAAAGTTGGGGCCTTTGTGAGCGGAAAGAAAACAGTGAAACCGCCGACACTCACCCCTGCGGGTCTGAGCTCCCTGAAGAGGTCAGGGGGTAAAATGTGCAGCAGTAGCATCATGGCAAATGTAGGCAGGTAGAACTCAAGTTGACTCACTTTCCATCCATCCCCTTTACGGCATCTTCTGCATCTCTGGCATCCTCATACTCTACGAAGGCGAAACCTGGAGGGTTCCGGGCGACCCATACACTCCGCAATGGTCCGTAGTAACTGAAGGCCCGTTCCAGCTCACCTTTGGCTGCACCATTGCCAAGGTCACCAACATAGACCTTACAGTCGGTGGCACGAGAGGAACTTCGGGATGAGTAAGACATCTTGCACCTGTAGTATTGACAAAGTAAAGAAATTAATTGATGCCTATTTGAGAGAGTAGAAATTGAATTCCCAAATTCACTGACAGTCAAATGAATCTTTTCAACCAAGGGTTCGTGGACAACTGGGTGTCTCTGATGGTACTCAAAGTCTGTGGAGACTATAAAACATAGAACGCCACATTTAAAACTATCAAATATTGAACTCATTTTGTTAAAGGAACCGAACACCCATAATAAATTTACTTGCTTTCATACTAGTTCAAAATATGTATGACTTTCTTCTGCAAGACACACAACCAATGCATGTTTTTTTTTTTTTTTTTTTGTTTTCCCCCCCAAATACAACAAAGGTCAATGTCACCAAAACAGGAAATCATGGAAGTTTGGAATGACAATTTTAATTTTTGGGTGAATTTTTCCATTAAGCACTATATAATGTGGTAAAGTAGCGACGTTCCAAGGATTGTTGTAAATTGTTTCAAACAATTTCACTGTACACTACAAATCTCTGGTTCTGTAAAGATTGAAAATCTCTAGCTTTCTTCTAGAATAAAATACAGGTTCTAGTGTACATTGATCAACCAGTGCGCATGCAAGTGCGTTGGTCTAGAAGTAGTACAGCCATGCACTTGTTAAAAACATAGCAACTCGCGGTCAGCTGTTCCAGTATCACGTGGATGCACCTAAATTCGTTAAACTGAATATATGAGTGCTTAAGAGCTTTGTTGCTACACGATGTAAACGTACGAATTTCTCAAGGATAATGTTTTGGTTTCGTTTTCATCGCTCTGTAACACCAGTCACATAACGTTAATGAACTAACGTTACGGCCATGATAGACCGCTCAATCATGTTTATCAACATGATATCGGAACTAACAAGACTCAAACAGCCAAAAACAAACAGACAATAGTATAAGAGCTTAGAAGCATGAAACATTTGAGAATGTAGCAAGTGGTTTGATTGTTAGCCTATTAGGAAGATTAACGCCAATAAGTGCGCCAGAAACGCAGGCCGCTCTTTGTTTGGCACATTTTAAACGATAACGTACACCTACCGAATCCGAAAGATCCACCAGCTGGCAGCAACATTTAAATCACGAAGTCTCGTACAAAATATATAAACGCACGTGAAGAGAATGGCCTTTGAAATAATACCAAATAAACAACACCATCTACAGCACGCGGACTTACTGTGTGACTCGACGTCCTCGGTTCCGTCGTGTGAGGGCGCGTGGACGCTTCTTCTTCCGGTTGATGAAAGGCGCTCAACCAAACCTTGGCCGACAGGAGAAACCAGCTAATGAATACTACAAGTACAAAGTCGATACAAATCGAATTCATCTAATCAAATAAACAACGTGAGCATGCAAATCTAAACAGAGTCCTCACCAATTCTCTTATCTCATGCTCCTGACTCGCGCTCTTGGCCCGGCCGGAAGCGTCACCCCTCACCGGCTGAGCGCGGCCTTGACGACTTCTTTTCCAAGAAGGGGCGGTGTCTTTAATTCTTAAACATGATTGGCTCTCACTGATGTAACTCAAACTACAGGCGCGTTTCCAACTGTTTTTTACTGGCGGGGATTTTCATTCATTCCAGTAGTTTGAATTATGTTCACTAAAACGATTCATTCATTAAATTAAACGATCATTTCTGCTTCAATTGTAACTTAAGTCATTGAATCTTTTACTCAACCGATTCGTTAAGAAGACAGAATAGTAGATGTAACTAATAACTTATTTATAAACAAATCTACCAAGAGTGCATGCTTGGGTTGCCAAATTCAGCAAAGCAAAATATTAGCATGTTTGTTTTTAATAGGCCAACACAGTGTAAGGGACATTCAAAATAGTTTATAGTTAATTTGCGTACCACTATTGTTCAAATGATGGACATTGTTTTAAATTAACATTCATAATTCTAACATGTCCTTTGTCTCATTGTGATATATCACCTCTCTGTCTCTATGGATTCTATAAGCATTAAGCAACCAAATCATTTACAAGATTCGTCAAAGGAAGCAATTATAATTAATTAGGCCTAGTGCAATCTGTTGATGTTTAATGAATAAAATAACAGTAATTCGACTTTTAATTTCTGAAAGCAGCATGTTCCAGTAAGAATACAGAACACAATAAAACAACCATTTCAATTTATTAAGGATTTTACTTGAATTTAAATACTGAAAATATACATGTGAGTGAATTCATGAAGAGACATATGACATAGACTCCTCAGTGTTTGTAAATATATGAATGTGAATTCTGATTATAATTGTCACATACATTATTTCCTTGACCAACTTCGCAAGGTACCTCCCATAATGTATAAAATCCTAAAGTGAAACCAGCAGAAGTTGTTCAGTTTCACTTGTCAAAGATTTTTATTTTTTGTGATAATTTCTATGAAGAGTCATATGTGGCTTCTCTCAGAGAGAGAACTAGCATCTCTTCACAGGTGCATCAATTACTGTCATAAGTCAGCATATAAATCACATCACAGTTCTGTCATAAAGGTGCTACATCTTGCAGTGTTAATCTCCTCCATTTCTTTGAGGGTCTGGTGGTGTCAAAAGTTCATAATACCTCTAATGTGCTTTGAAACCAAAGCTGAACAACAGTCAGAGATGCCCCTGATAGCTGTGCAGTCATATCTTGTTCTCTCTAACTCACTCTCTTATTTTAGGTATGTTTGTTAATACAGAAATTGCAAACCTATACCTACTTCATGTACTTATTACCATGGAATAGACAGTACTTCGTACATTTCTCTCACAGTTTTCACAAAACTCATTTAACTTGAATGCTTGTTTATTGAGTTTTCTATGTCTTCTCTGTCCTCAGAAGCCCGTGATGTGACAGTAGGCCTCTAGGCTGGAGAATGTGATGTAGAGAAGCCACAAACCGATGAACAACGCTGAAGTCAGAACTTTTAGCACTTTGGGCCCACCTAGCTCTCCGCCCACCGATTTCCGCCGCCTTAACATCAGGACAGCAATGTTGATGAAGGCGAAGATGGTGAAGAGTGTAACAGAGAACGCAAGCGAACCAGGGTCTACATAAAACACCTGACCTTTGACCTCCCAGTAAATGGCTGAAATGGACCAAGCCACGCCAATCCCAAGAAAAACATTAACGGCGTTGCTACCGGTTACATTTCCAACTGAAGCATCTGCGTACTGATCCTGTTGAGCTGCGACCTTGCTTGCAAATGTATCTAAAAAAGGAAGGAAGGGAGGTGAGAAATGCCTGGTTGGTAAAATGATTTTCATTCACACACAGCAACAAAATAAAGTTGTCAGACACCATGCAATCACCTCTCTCCAACTTAAACATCACCTCCATTCAAAATGTTTAACAAACACTCTTGTTGTTTGGGCTACAATTTGCAAATGCTGGGAATATTCTCCACAACTGAGCGAATTGCATCCCGTATCTCCATATCCGCCGTCGTTTTCCCTAACCTAAAATACAATCTTAAACTCGGCGCTTAGCGTCTACGTCACGGCTCTCAGCCCGCCCTCAGTTCGTTGATTGGCCGGCTGTTTTCAGGCCGGAGGAAAACTGAGAGATGTCGATGTCTCACACACAGTTCCAGTACAGAAGCGAACTGAAATTGAGCGGAAGTACAAAGTCTGACGTAGTCAGGCTACCGGATCGAGCCAAAGGCTAAATTTCATCTGTATTGTCCTTTAATATGGTTACGTTCACACACAGTTCCAGTATTTTACGGGACTGACAACTTCTCAGAAAATGTATGCTGTATGAACGGAACTGGACTGGACAACTAGTTGTCTGTCATGTCATACTGTGTGAGAGAGCCGCTCTGCACTGCACAAATGCTTGTCTACCGTTTGTTGCGGGTTTTGGTGTGTGTGGTCTTACTTTCAGTAACTTACAGCGACGGAGATATGAGATCTGAAGGCTCAGTTTTATATTCTATGAGTGACTCTCCACCCAGATATAAAAGCTGCAGTCAGTTGATGAAGATTTGACGGATTTAACCTTGTGGCTTGATTGGACTTGTCTTCTCAAAAGTGATGAAACTTTTCAGCTTAATGGATATTGTCATAATGTCAGTGTGTCGCTATGGTTAATGGTAAGAGAATACAGGCTTGACTCCCGTTACACGTTCATACAGACTACTACTGAAAGTTTCAGTGTGAACGGGACATTTCGAGACTCACACCTGTAAGTAAAAGCGGTTGTCAATCCCAAAAACTGGCAGTGTGAATGTAGCCTTTATTTCATACAGTCTACCATACATATTTACCTGGTATTGAGGTTCCTAAGGCGACAAATACTACAGCAGTGACAGTGTCACGAAGGCCCACTGTACACCCGAAATGAGATGCCAAATCTCCAATGACAGCAGTTAGCATCCCAATGACCACAATGCACACAATGAAGCAGGTCCAGCCGTTCCCATACTCTGTGGGTGGAACAAACGCAAACAGAATCTTCCAGAACACTGTAATCGCGTGCATGAAATAATCACAGCGCGAAGGCTGCTGAGGCTCCCCTCCTTCCTCATCACCTTCTCCTGAGAAAAAGAAAAAAGGTCGGAATAAATCATTATCATCACCTGAAAGAATATCTCGTGATATTTTTGTACACACAAAGACAGCATAATTCATGATTTAATATATATATACAAACACACAAATGATTTGATTTTACCTGCACTGACTGTTACAGCCTCAATGAACTGTTCCCTCCAGGAGTGTGTGCCAATTACTTCGGCAAGATTGGTATCCTTCAAAAGGCGGTCTACTGTATTCTAAACACATATGCACACCATAGTAGAGCTTAGTGATTGAGAAATACATCCGTTAAACAGCAATCAATTAGACTTCATCAGTTTTTTTTAATTCCTGTTTGATTCATTTGCTAAAAGGACTGTTCTTGTGTAACGGAGGTCAGCAAGTGCAGGTAAACCGTCCACACCCCTGGCCCGTCCTTAGGGTGCTGGAGCCATGGACTGAGAAGGGACTTCGTCTTCGTCAACCTTGAGTGAAGACAATAGACGAACAAGCAACTGATGCCAGAAGCTGTGGTCTTTAGCGCCCTTGTTAGCTAGTCCCTCTTGAGGCCAGCGAATTGATGTTTACCTGCACAGCTCTTTACTAGCTGGCCTCCGTTACACTTTCTCAGCCAAATTAACATTTTGTTTCATTGATAAATCATGATTGGTTGTGTATAAAGCTTTAGGGTTAAAGGAGTAGTTCACCTTTAAAAAAACTTTTGCTGATAATTTACTCACCCCCATGTCATCCAAGATGTCCATGTCTTTCTTTCTTCAGTCGAAAAGAAAAGGTTTTTGATGAAAACATTCCAGGATTTTCTCCATATAATGAACTTCAAACGGTTCAAGGTCCAAATGAGAGTTTTAGTGCAGCTTCAAAGCAGCTTTAAATGACACCAGACGACGAATAAGGGTCTTATCTAGCGAAAAGATCGGTCATTTCAAAAATAAATAAAAAAGTTTACGTTTTATAAGCACAAATGCTCGCCTTGCTCTGTTCTGTGATGAGCGTTCATGACTCTCCTGTTCTAACTCGTTCATCAAAATTAACAAATCTTATTTCGAGTAATGACTCGAAGTGTCCTAGATAAGACCCTTATTCATCGTCTGGTGTCGTTTAAAGCCCTTTGAAGCTACACTGAAACTCTCATTTGGACCTTGAACCGTTTGGTTCCCAATAAAGTCCATTATATGGAGAAAATCCTGGAACGTTTTCATCAAAAACCTTAATTTCTTTTCGAATGAAGAAAGAAAGACATGGACATCTTGAATGACATGGGGGTGAGTAAAATTTTTTTTTTAAATAAATTACTCCTTTAGTCTAGTTCTAAAGCTTTCAATTAGCAAACATACAGATTAAAACAGAAAGAGTAGATGAGAAAAATGTAATTTAATTGCATCACAATCTTCATGCATTTAAATTGGATTAATTCAGTCAGAGAGAGTTTAAAGGTTGAAGTTAAGGGCAATCCGAACACACACTTCACACTGAGGCAAGTGGTCTACTACCGCATCTAAAACTCCATTAGGAACCATTCCCTGTCGGACCTATATGAGAAGGAAGGAATCACAGCTTAAACAGTTTCTGCCTGCATGTGACAGAATACATTTTGCATAGTTTTATGTGTTTGTTACCTTGAAAGCTATGCTCTCCTCTATAATGACCTCTAGCCTGCTGTGTTCTCCCAGAATAGGCTTCCCCTTCTCTGCTATACGCCTGGCATCTTCCAGTTCTGGACCAGGAGTGGCTGAGGAAAATGAACAGGAGAGCAAAGGATAAATACTGAATGCTAAGATGTGAGGTGTAACAATTCTTTATGTGTAGACATACAAAATTGCATATATACTGCATAATATATGTAGAAAGAGTTTGTAAAATCATCTTACCCTGATTCAACAGCAAATCTACTTGCAGCATGTGAGTAGAGAATGAATGAATGAATAATTGACTGAGTGATTAAGTAAATGATTGATTGATTCATTGTTTGATTGATTGTTTGAATCAATCAATAAACCATCCAATCAATCACTCTACACTACCATTCTACACTACTTTTTAAAAATATTTTTCAAAGTAGTTTCTTATCCTCACTAAGGCTGCATTTATTTGATGAAAAATACAGTAAAAACATTTTTATTTGCACACATCGGCTTATATTACGTACGTACGTACGTACACACACACACACACATACAAGCGTGAGGCTAAAATGTGTGCGTAGGTGAGTTGGATCTAGTTACTATGAGTGACGCATATCTAGTTTGTCCCCTGTTGTGCTGGTGTTATTGATCTGAAACTGGACACTGGTCATAGAAATGTGTGTGTCTGAGAGGCGAGTACGAGGCTATTGAGGCTATTAGCAAGCATTCATGGAAATCTCCCACAATGAGAAAATATGAAAATACTATAACATGTGTGATGATTAACAAGAGTAGGTACACACACAGACCTGAGATGCCTCTCTTGAGCCATTTGGGTTCTTCAAGTACAATGTAGAAATTTTCTCGCTTCTCATATTCCTGCATGTTAATGATGCGCACCTGTAGTGTCTTACTGTGGATACACGCAGACAAAGAGCAAAGGTCAAATAATCATTTCCTCTTGGTTTTACCTCTGAAATATTAAAGGAGACCTCAACATTTAAATCACATCAGAGTTGGGCCTGCATGAATACTTTAACACACAGTGCATAAATAATTAACCCACACACAGATGAATTGAGACAAGCTTTCGGTTGTGTACATGCTCTCCTCTCCACAAACCATTGCTTCATTGAGGGTTTAAGATTGATATAATTTGTTTTAACAATAAAAGCTACATGAATTCAGTGTGTGTATGCGGCATAATTTTGGTCTTTGCCATGTACTCGCTGAAGCTTCACTACAGACAGCACAGATTCCAACCTCATCAGATTTCACATTCACATGAATGAATAAAAACCTGTCAAAAGTGGCTTCTAATGCTGCGTTCCAGGCAACCTGTAACCCGTGTTTTTCCAACGTTATACCCGTGAAAGTGCACTGTAACGGCAGTCAAACCCGTGACTTCCCACCCGTGAACTTGTACTAGATCTACTGTATGTACTCCCAGTTACGAGATCTGACGTCACATAGCCTGCAAAACCATACAAAACTACAATGACAGCCCCTACGGATGCAGTGTTTCTGCAGGCGGTACACACAGTGAGAATACACTTTAGGACAATAACGTTAACTAATTTTCAGTCCATTGAGAGTAAGGATAAATTAATACCAAATACATTTTCCAAATGTACAAATAAAGTAAAATAAAAGGTATAACAGCTTATCTTGCCTTATGCGCTATTTTTCCTCCTCAGTTTCCCACAAACAAACAAGGAGTAAGCACCTTTGGCGTTAGAAATTATTACAAATGCGCATAAGCCCCGTAAGGTCCGCCATGCTGGTTTGTTTACATCTAGCTACCACAATTCCTTGCGCTCAGGTAGTTTGGCGTGAATGACCTGGAATGCAACAAAGTCATAAGTCTGGTTTGAAGTCGTGATTTACGTGCTCAAAAACCTGCCTGGAACGCAGCATAACTGCCAGAAAAATATTGTGAATGTTAATTTGGAACACATTGTTCATCAAAATACTTGTACTTTCAAAATACAACCTAAACGCTCTACTTAAGCATATAACATTTATAATATAATTATTTAAATTATATTTATTTATACTATAATTATTTATATTATAATGTAATAAGTATGTATATTATAATGTAATAAAAAATAATATTTTAATTATAATATCACTTCTAGATATAGATCTAGATATAGAGATCTATGGATATGCTCTATGGAATCACCTTGTGTCAACCTTAAACCTTCTAGCCTAGGTTAAAAAATATTTTTGACACAAAAAAAAACCCACAAACATATTTTCTGCTCAGAATCCAGTATTAGCGTAACAGATTCAGTCTGGAAGCACACACAGGACAAAGTACTAGACAGGGATTATAGACTAAACAGCATTAAATGTTAGTACTGGGGAGAAAGAGACCTCAAGTGGCTCAAATGAGAAGTGAGGGGATAGTGACAAATAATAGAGGTTGTTTGTATGCTGATGGCGATGTAATACGAGGTTTAATATCATCAGTGCATTAGCTACACAACTACAGCTAAACTAGTGTTTCAGAATTTCAACTTAAATCTTTAATAATGCTTATGGTGTGTTTAAAAAAAATATAATTAAGTCATAAATAGTAAAAGGATATGATATATAAATTGACATACACTACTGTTCAAAACTAAGATTTTTAAAAATAAATTAAATATTTTGTATGAATATTTTGCTTAAATATAGTAAAATAGAAAACAGTAGTTTTAAATTGTAATAATATTTCACAATATTACTGTTTTACTGAATTTTAAACTATTTAAAAAATCTTACCAACCCCAAACTTTTGATCAGTAGTGAATGTTCATTTATTATACCTTTATAATGCATTATAACTGCACAACATATATTAGTAAAATATATTAATGGGCTGTAATGGTCCATAATTAGAGATTTTTAAGTACTACTGCCAGACTGCTTACTGAGATACTTAAAATTCGTCACCAGCAATATAACACATTTATATGACAACACTAGTTTTTCACATAAATTCAAACTTTGTGTGAATGTGGCAGGGTTTGTGTGCATGTGAGAAGTAAATACTCAAACAGTGTAGGTAAAGTTAAAATAACAAGGTATTTGAATTTAAAACCTGTGGACATTTACCTAGTCTGCTCATTGGTAAACTCCAGCTCTCCTTGTGTGTGCTCATAGTCAACACCCTGTCGAGCAGAACCGTCCTCTGTGTGATACGGAATTGTTACGGTCCCACGCATACCTGATGTCCGGTTCACAGGCACCTCCACCACACCTGAACATTCACCCACGCAGAGCTCCCGCTGACCAAATGCGAAGACTCCCGCATGGTCATCGTCCAGAATGGTTACTGTGGTTACGAGGGGTTCGACCAGCCGGGCACCATCGGTGTTGGTCCCACCCTCTCCCTCTCGCAGGTTTGAGAGACGCACAAAGAAGTGTTCGTCTTCTTCAAACACATCATCATCAATAATGCCCACCTGTAAAAAGTATACATGCATCTAAAATACATACACTTTTTATAATATTATTGATATTATTACAATTTTAAATAACAATTTTCTATATGAATATATTTTAAATTAGGAATATATTCCAGTCTTCATTCAAATCATTCTGATTTGATTATACTTACAAACATTTCCTGTTATTATCATTGTTAAAAAAACAACAACAGTTGTTCTGCTTAGTATTTTTGTGGAAAATGTGATTTGTTTCAGGATTCTTTTATGAATAGAAAGTTCAAAAGTACAACATTTATTTGAAAATATTTGACAATTATACATGTCATTCCTTTTATTTAACAAGGACACACAAAATGTATCCAAAATTACAGATAAAAAAAAAAATCGTTTGTGTTTTCACTTGCAATTTGAATCATTCACATCATTAAACTGATTTTTGTGACTGAATTACTTACAAGTCAAAGATTCTTTTTTGTTCATAAATCAGACATCACCACTTTCTCACCTTTATTTCCTTGCGTGTCTCTCCGGGCTGAAATACGATCGTTCCCTCACAATACTCATAATCTGTCCCAGAACTGGCTGACCCATTCTCTGTCCTGTAATCGACGTGGAAGGTTCTGGTGCCGGTTCCTCCCTGTAAACAGACCCATAGACTCATGTTCCCACAGTTCTCACTGCACTGATACTGTGCCTGCTCAAAAGCTATCTGAGAACAGGTGGCCAGGTCACACTCAGTCGAATCTCCAGCAGCTCTCTTCGCCTGTTCGGCTGCGGCATGTTTCTTCAGTACATTCCCAGCACCAATCATCATGCGTGTTGCCTGTACTCGGTAAAAGGCCCGGCTCTTATGCTGTTTCTGCATGGTGGCATAGTTGGCCATCTCAATCAGCTGATCCAGGTCTTTGTCCGGATGCTTCTCTCTCAGTTCCTTCAGCATTCGGATCACCTACAACCATATACAGTCTTAGTAAAATCCAATACTGAGGCTCACTGCTCACTGAGGCTGCATGTTTCTAAATATGAAAAGAAAAAAACTGTAAAACAGCAATATTGTGAAATACAATTTAATTTTAAAAGAATTGTTTTCTAATTGACTATATTTATTTATGTAATGGCAAATCTGAATTTTAAGCATCATTACTTGTCACATGATCCTTCAGAAATCATTTTAATATGCTGATTTGCTGCTCAATAAGCACATCAATGTTGTTCAATATTTTTGTGGAAACGGTTTTACACTTTTTTTCAGGATTCACTGATAAATAGAAAGTTAAAAAAAGAGACAAATATTTGAAAAATATTATACAAATATTTAAATAAAATAATTTGAAATTAAAATCTTTTGTAGCATTATAAATGTCTTTACTATTATGTTTGAAATGTTGTATTTGTCAATTTATTGAGTTCTATTTAATGTGTCCTTGCTGACAGTATTTATTTATTCCAGAAAAACATAATCTTGACCAAACAGACCAACGTTTTGAACAGAAGTGTATTTGAGGAAATATTTAAAAAAAAAGAGACAAATATACAAATTTGCAATCAATCTACAAAGATATTTGACCATAGAATCTGTTTTGTTTTGCCCTCTCACCTCCTCTCTCTCCTTTTCAGGTTCTTGATTTTTCTCCATATTGATGGTAGTGCTGTTTTGATATTTGTCTGCCATGATGGCATCAATGCCTCTGGGTGCTAGCTCACCCTCCATCTCCACAATGATACCATGACGTTTATCAGCACGGTATCGTTTGTGCAAATACTTGTAAAAGAGCAGGCGCCGGTCAGCGATCCACGCCATTAAGACACACACAGGGAAGAAGAACAGAGTGACCAGAGCCTCCCAGACCTCACACCCACCCACACACACACACACACACACACACACAGAGTTAATCAAATTAGCCACAACATCCACATAAATATTAACATTCACATTATGCAAACAAGTTCTGCTTGTCTCAAACACACACACACACACACACACACCTGTACAACGCCAGGGCTTATGACTGCCAGGATGAGGTAGAGCCAGATGTAGGCAAAAATGCTCCAGGTTGCAGTAATGAAGAAGACTCTGAGGTGTTTAATCTTCCTCACCTCTCCATCAGGAATAACCCATACACACACTCCGATTATCACAAACATGTTAAATGCGGCACTGCCCACTATAGTGCCAGGACCCAGTTCTCCTGACTCAAAACCATGTCCACACACCTGTTGCACACATACAAAGCAGAGAACAATAATACCAATACAAATACTTTACTTTCAAAAGCAATTAGTAATGCACAATTTAGGGACTTTTTAAGACTATATTTTTTCAGAATTTAGGAGAGACAGAATTCTCGTACAAATTAGTCATTTCTGGAGAATAATTTCTTATATTTCCAGAATAATTTCTAGAGAAGTAACTGACAATTGACTGTCACTGTGTTAAACCACACTGAGTTAAATGATATGTCTTTACATGGATGAAAAGTGGCTGAAGTCATCACTTTAAACCGATAGTGTGTGTGTGTGTGTGTGTAAGTGTGTGTCAGTCATTTAATAATTAAAAAAAAAACAAAAAAACTAGCCCTTCGTTTTCTTGTGATAAACCACTGAGCAATGCAAGTTGCTGGTTTGTTTTGACGTTGTGTGCGTACCTCTATTACAGACAGCAGGATCTCAGGGGCTGATGAACCCAAAGCCATGAGTGTGAGGTTGGAGACAGTTTCATTCCAGATTCTTACTGTCATTACTGTTTTCTCTCCATTAGCACCCGTCACAGTCACCTCCCTCTCCTAGGGAGAAGAGACACATTAAGTTTATAAAAACAGTTTATAATGACCAAAATCTTATTTCACACTAGTCCTTTTCTAAACAACAAAAGTATATCAGAAACAATGTAGTAAATTGTTTATATTTTAATAATCAAGTAGTATTGCCTATTTTTGGACAGGCAAGTGAGTGTACTTTATAAAAAAAGGCACTTCATCTCATTTGACTATTTTTTCTTTCTGTTTTGAAGTAGACTGACACAAACTACAACAGCAAAGACTTCAACCATATATTAAATCACCTAGTTCTTGAAAGCAGATCTACTCATTAATGTCTTTGCCAATATATCTACTGTGGAATAAAAGAATATCAAATTCTCTGCAGGATGACACACACCGTCATATCGTACCATCATAATGTCATACTGTCCAGCATAAGAGACTTCTAAGAGACAAACAAATCTTACATCTACATATATTCTTATCTCTCTCTCTCTCTAATATATATATATATATATATATACTCTAATATATATATTATATTTATATATATTTTTTTTTTGTCACACCTGTGAAGTGATGGTCTCGATGGCAGACATGAAACGGTCAGCAATGATAGACACACCCAGGAACATGTAGAGAAGACATGAAAAGTAGATCACTGCTCGCATTGCCTGCATCGCAAGTGAAGGGTTTTGTGGCAGCCACACAGGAAGTAGAATCCCTGGATGACATTTGACTTTTTCAGAACAGGATGCTTTGGGGCCATCTGCACTACTGTTGCTGTTCCTATGAGCACTGCCACCCAAACACACCACCTGTGGAGAGAGGAGGAGGAGAAGGAGGAGAAGGTGGAGGAGTAGAGGAGGAGCCATGACCACATATGGCGAACAGAAAGATTTTCTTGAGGTTGAGAGATTGAAAGGGAGAGAAAAAGAGAGTGGGGGTTATTCATACAAAGCATGATCAATCAATCATGATACATTTTTATTATATAATGCAACAATGTACATGAGAATGTTTTTACAAATGATTTACACAGTAATTCTCCTTGTGTTTTATGAATGAGGCCCAATCTCTGTATGTGCATGCAGTACATGCTTGTGAAGAACAGGGAATGTGTGTGAGGCCTAATATAAACCACAGGACTTATCAACGGTTCATTAATCATGCCTGGCCCACACTGGACACAGCCAGTCCAACCTAATGGATCCATGAGACTTAAGGTCCTTGCACACTGAGTCCCAAATTTTCGTATGCGTTTTTTCATATTCGTCATTCGTTGGCTCTGAATTGTCAAAACACCTCTCAAATGCGAAAAACGCAGAAAATCGAACCTGCTCCAAAAAAATTTATGACGGACGAAAGTTTCACAGGCAGTCTGTAAACGTGACTGACAAAACATGTGGTCATATTTTTTTTAACGTGCAAAATGGAATCGGTATGCAAGGACCTTAATACTACTTAAGTGGACTGGCAGCAGTGGCACCATAAAAATGAAAGAAAGACAGCATGCTTTCAGTTTGAATAAGTACTTGATTTATAAACTATTTACTTCTAAAGAAAATACCAATGGTTGTGAAGTAGCAAATGAGAGGTGTTTTAGGTTTAACATATGACACAGAAGACTGGAGTAATGATGATAAAAATAAAGCTTTGCCTCACAGAAGTAAAGGACATTTTTTTTCAGGTGGACCCAGGGTGAACCCCATAAAACTCCATTATATGACTGACAGACAAGAACGGTTCGACCTAAAAATATCAAAATTGAAAATACTGTGGAAACAAAGACACCATCTTGGATGCCCTTGAGGTAAGATAAAACATATCAAAAGTTCATTTCAAAGTGAATATCCCTTTAAGATTTAGTATGGAAATATTGCAACAGCATGATCATTGTTGGTTATATTTTAGTGCAAGAGATTTTATTCAATTTTAAGATAGAATACAAGCAATTTCAATAGAGTGATGCCATGCACCAAAAGCACTGACATAACACATCCATTTCTAGATTTTGAATCTTAATTTCTCTCCTTCTCCTCCTTATTTTCCTCTGATTGTTTCTCTGACCGTCACCTGTGTGGTAGAGATTGAGAGTGACGTGCTGGAATGAACCATGTATTCATATTTCACTTTCTAATCTGCGCTATGGTTACCTGGACATCAGCTTTGCTGTGTTACTCTACACCACTGTCCAAAAATAACCCATGACACACATGGCCCTAACAACTAAAACACACACATACTCATACGTACATGAAAGTGTCTTGTATGTTATTGTATATGTTGGGTGACAGTGTTTGTTTGTGTGTATTTAAATAAGTGAGTATGTGTTACTCTCATACAGTTATGTGAGTGTATGTTTGTGTACAGGTGTGTGCGTGTGCCTGAAACTGAAATGTCTCCGATTACCACGATGACACTGTTTCAGTCTGTCAGTGCCGCTGATAAGTGATTGGGCGGATTGGCTTACACACAGAGCTCTGACAGCTTAATAGGAGTTAGCACCTTTTAGTGGTTAAGATTACCACCACCAGAGAGAGAAAGTGACAGAGGGAGATAGAGGGAGAAAGGCAGAAGATCCGTTCTTGGAAACGTGAGAGTGACAAAGAAAAATTAAGAGGATGGTTAGATAAAAAGAGAAAGAAGAAAAACATCCACATTTTTAGGAAATGCCTAATTTTCAGTTGATCTGCTAAAATACACATTTATTTTATCAACTAATTAAAAGTGATAATTCAATATATATATATATATATTAACGTTTACACTACTCTTATTTGACCAAAAATTTTAAGGTAAAACAAACCATTTAATTGAACTTATTATTTAAAAAATATTTAGATTTTTTATATAAATTCCATGAATTAATTTTAAATTCTCAGCCACAATGTTTGTTCCATCACACTGACTACTACTAGCTGTTGCCCTGCGGAATGAGAGGCGTTTATGAGAGCGAGTGTGCTTTAACACCTCTCTCTCTCACACACACATGAGTGTGCTTTGACACCTCTCTCTCTCAGTATTTGCCATCCAATACTGATTACACACTCTCACACAGACTTGACTACATAATAGTGGATGGACAGCGTTGAACAATAATTGACCTGAACAATATACACAAATACTCACAGAATGCACAATATACCAAATAGCTTTAAAATAACAGCAATGCTCTTGTTTATGAACACTTACACAAACAAAACCAAACATGGAAATCCAAACACACAACTAATTAAATTAAATTAAAATGAATTTTAGGCACTGATACTTTTTATTTTTTGTTATATCTGAGATATTCTTAGGTACTGTTCAAAGGTATTATAGAGGTCTGTTACTATTCTTATTATATCTAATGTTATAGTTATTACTGAACCTTTATTCGGTCATAGAATTCTCATAAATTAATCACAATGACACTTAACCATAGCCAACAAACTTCACTTGAAGCTGTCCATGTGTGACCCACAAACAAAAAACATTTCAGTCAGCCTTTTAAAAGTGAGTATTATATTAAAGTCCTAGCATTCAGTGTCCCGCTGTCTTCAAGGAGCACTTGCCAATAAGACACACACACACACACATCTCCTTTCAGTATCTGTACACAATAATCTCAGTGCCTTCCCTCTCACTCTCTTCTGCTCTCTCTACTCACCAGGACAACACACACACACTTAATTATCAGCATCTTAGGTTCATTAAACACACTACAACCAACATGGTCACGCTTTGTATTAATAACATAATTTTTAAATACAAAAATATTGTTAAGTGCTTATGTTCATGTTGCATTGCAAAATACTTTTGATACTAATGAGGTGGGATTCAGGCAAGGTCAGGAACAGGTTTGTGGTATGGTTAGGGTTAAGGGAGGGTTAAGGGGTAAGAGAAGGGTCAACAGTGTATGCACAACAAACTTCCATATTCTGTAAAACAGGTCGCATCGCTTCCGGTTCAGGTCTTTTGTATGTGCTTTCTTAAATATAGAGCCGTTTTACTCATGATACCTTCAAAGAAGCGAGCAAAGATGAGCATATCCGATGTCCATCACATATTCAATTTGATATCTAAAAGTCTTATTTTATTTTTCTTCTCACTAACAGTGAGATATTTGAATCGAATAAAGGTTAGCGAATTAATTTAAAAGTCCATAGATATAAGCATCAGTACTGCTGTTAACACTTTCTTGGACAAGCGGATGCAATGGGACCAGTTTTTCTGTTTGTACATGTGGTGTCCGGTATAAAGCCTATTATAGATGCAAGTAATTATATAAATTAATTACAGCAGTAATTACATGCACAGTTTTTAAATACAAGTACAATGAAAAAACATGTATTTATTCAATAAATGCATTGTATCAAATGATTTATTTAAATGTTAGCATATCGTAAAGACACTTAATATAAAGTGAGATTTAGTTTTATGTGAAGAAAAAAATTATGATACATAATGTTTGCTAAATATGACATCCGCTTGTTACATAGTCTTTAGAGATTAAGTTAATTTTTTTTTATATTAAAATAAAGATTTTTTTTAACAACGCTATTTTATAAAAATGGCTGCTCTTGGGTCTGTCTTGGTATTTTAAACACAAGCAGACACAGTCACGAGTACACGCTCACCAGGACACATGCACAAAGACGGTGCAAGTGACTGACACACTAACATGGGCGTTTGGATTGAGAAACTCTACTCTTGCTTTCATGGTCTCCATCCATGCATTAAATAATTAAACGATTGCAGATCGATCTAAGATCCGGTGGTTAACTAATGACAGGTTTAGATCAAGTGTTCGGAACGGAGACATGTGTGATCATTTGACCTGGAATCACATGATTAACCGGTTACAGTTTTGCATGTTACATATTACATGCTCCCCTATAAGTGGAATGTAAAATACACAGACAAACAAATCACCGGCTCACACACCTAAAATAAGACAAAGGCGAAGCAGATCAACAGACATGTGCAATGTGAGAGAGGCATACGTGCTCACACACACAGAGAGAGACAAATAAACCAGACTGCATGTGTACACACATACATACACACTCAGACTGCAGCAGGAAGGCTGAGAGCTCAGGTCTTGTGGTGTGTGTTACGGTGGCCCCTCATCCTGGCCAGCGTTACTCTAGAAGGATCCGCAGTCTCAACTTCACCCGCCACTCATCACGACACTGCCATTATGCAATATTTAGCACAGCACACACACCAGGTACACGTTCATTCTCAGACAAACGCTGTCTAAATCACATTTTGTCTGTCTGACACACATGAACATAAACTTCTGCGAGTCTGGGTTAGTTCAAATCATTCAAAATATTTGTGGTGGGATGACACTTTTTAGTGAATGTTGCCCATGGTTTTAGGCTGAGATTCATGTTCACCAGTACATGTATGTTGTTGAGTTTACTTGGATGACCGACGCCTTGATTTCTTCCCAAATTCTTCAAAGAAATACAAAATATGTAAATGCAGGTGAGGCAGCTCAAGCCAAAACAATCTCAAATGACTTACTAGTGCCTCATGGGGTAGTATTTTGAGGTGGGTCGACTCGGGTAACCTCAGGAGGTAGATTCAGGTAGAGCTCTGTGTGAGAGCCAAAGCAATGGCAAGACTTCAGCAGCAGCTGCAGAGCTTCAGCTCAGAACCTGCAGAGTTTCATTATCATCCCACACTGAAACAGAGCAATTGGAAGTCAAGAGTGAGTCTGTGTAAGAAGCTGTAGTAGAAGCACACATATATATATAAAAAAACAATTTAATAAATAACAACCTGCATGTCACATACACATTAAATTAGTTAATCAGAAATATAGAATGATGAAATGTAGAGTACAGACTGAATATCGTTCAAATGTTTGAAGTTTGAAAATTAATACTTTCATTCAACAAGGACTAAAACATAAGCTATTTTAAATTGTAATAATATTTCACAATATAAATACAGCCTTGTAAAGTATAAGAGACTTAACAAACATCTATCACTAAGAACTTTTCTAAACCATGAGTAGCATAATTATTTGCAAGTGCTTTTGAAAGAGAATTTTTGTTGGTTATTGCTTGACATTTAAAGCACTTATATTGCAAAAACATAAAACTATGAACAGAAGGGTGCTAGCATTCTGGCCAACTTATAAGTCTAATAAATCTATACTATATTGTATACTATACTATATACAAAGTGAGTTATAAATCAACATATATATATATATATATATATATATATATATATGAATTGTGAACTGCAAATATCAAAGTAGTGTCAAGAAATGTACTTTTTTTATAGCTCTGTTATCACTACATGCCCACAGCATTTTTTATTTTTTTTTTGCCACAATCTATCACCATCTCTTTATTTTTTAGATGATGTTCTATATCTTAAAATACAAAAAGGCAGAAATAATTGAAAGTCCAATATCAGGTGATAGATTTAATTATCATTAAATACTCTTCCTGTCAATCAAATCTACAGGAGGAGCACAAATCCACAGTAAAGAGAAAAGCATCCCTCACTTACTCTCACAAACACACTTCTTCCACAATACCAAACAGAGTGACTCACAGTGCAAATACACATTCTATCACAGAACATCATATTTTTTCATGAATATTTATTATGTATTTGAGTGTTTTATGCAAACCGAACCACCATCTAATACTCATTTATTCACAACCTTTCACTCATCCCTTCTGTCCATATTCCTTCAGTGTAGATGAACTCTCTAGAGCACCATTTCAGTCTTACCTCACTCCTAGAGTATCACATTCTGCAGGCAATGCATTACCTGTCCAAAGAGCAGAAAACACACCCGTCTGGCTGTGTGCTCACAACAAACCAAATCCTACTGTACAGCCCTGAACAGAGAGCAAGGGGGAGTGTGTGTGTGAGTGCGTTAGAGAGAGAGAGAGAGAGAGAGAGAGAGAGAGAGAGAGAGAGAGAGAGAGAGAGAGAGAGAGAGAGAGAGAGAGAGAGAGAGAGAGAGAGAGAGAGAGAGAGAGAGAGAGAGAGAATGGTTTTGTAGAAACTTGCTACTTCCATGCACCTTATGAAGTTGTACAAACACTTGTAGAGAGGGTAAACTAGTTATACTTTCTTCAAATGTATTTATTAATCTCAAACCTGGGGAGCTTTGGCACACACGTTTTCATCAGAAAACTTAACAGTGGGTAAAATAAATCATTTACATTGACCAAGGAGGTAAAAACCATTTAATAGAAAAGAAAATACTTTTCTTCTGGGTTTTCTGTTCTTAAAGGTTTATTAACACCTGTGTGGTGCTACCTCCACTGGCTCCCTGTTAGATACAGGGTTGATTTTGAAATTTTACTTTTAACTTTCAAATGCTTAGCTTCTTCATGTTCATACTCCAGCAAGAGTGCTGAGATCCGCCAATCTACTCCTCCTGGATGTACCTAGAAGCAGACTAAACAACCAGAGGTGATCGAACTTTTAGCGGCCCCTAACCTGTGGAACAACCTGCCAATCCATATCAGAACCTGCCCAACCCTTGAATGTTTCAAATCATTGTTAATGATCTGATGTTCATTGTCTGTTATTTTCCTGGTACTTTTAATATCTATCTATCTATCTATCTATCTATCTATCTATCTATCTATCTATCTATCTATCTATCTATCTATCTATCTATCTATCTATCTATCTATCTATCTATCTATCTATATGTGTGTGTATGTGTGTATATATATATATATATATATATATACAGACCTATATATATATATATATATATATATATATATATATATAGGTCTGTGCACCAAAATGCATTAGTTTATAAATAAATAAAAATAAAGTGTTGTTGGTTTACTTGGAAGGAAAGAATGGAAAGAGATATTAAGTTTTTTCATCATCAGTCTCACATACACACTACCGTTCAATTTTCAGCATCATTACTCAAGTCCTTAGTCAGTGTCACATGATCCTTCAGAAGTCATATACTGATTTGCTGCTCAAGAATCATCATTGCACATTTTTGGCTCAGTTTGTTCTACTGTATGTATGCTGCTAAAAAGGTGGTCTGTCATACTGTACACATGCCGAGTCTCATGTTTCTGTCTCTTACAAAACTTCATGGATACTTTACTGTTTAGAATTGCCCCTCCATCCCAGGGAGTTTAACCACTAACGTGTTTGTGTGTGTGAGTGTGTCAATGTGGGAGATGCTGCTATTGAATAGTGTCTGCTTTGCTTGTATTTCCATGTGAGTGCTTTGAAGGATTTTCTCAAAAACAAAACAAGAAAATGGAAGACATTTGGGACAGATTCTGGGACTAGAGAATGTTAAAATTAACTAGAGTAAGTAAGTGCAAGTATAAGTGATTAAGATAACTGAACTCCAGTATTGACCTGAACCCACACTTTCTCTGTAAAGACACTTCTACTCAACCTTCATAATCATCATCCTCACCACAACTCATTCATGTGTCCGGTCTACTTGCAGTCACGTTTATCCACGTTACTGACTGACCGCACATTGTAACTGAATATTCTGTTTCTTTTTTCCATTTCGAAAGACAACACCTTTTCTGAGCTAGACGGGTTACCAGTTAATCAGTTCCACTTTGACCGCGCAAACTTCCACCAGACAAATGTGACTTTCATGTAATCCAAGACTTTAAGTATTACTCTGCTGCAGGAATTTTTACCAGACCACTTTATCAGTGAGACACAAGGTCCTCTAACTGAGAGGACAAAAAAGTAATTAAAAAAAAAAAAAAAAAACATAAATCCACACTATACTCAAACTCACATCATCACAAAAGTTGTTTTCATTGTATTTTCAGTAAGCCTAAATTGAGTTAAATGTTAGATCACATATAGCTTTTCTAAAATATGCAATCAAGTGAATGGATTAAAAAGATACTTCAATCTATCTCTGTTTTCTATCTGTGAATTTTTAATAGATTAAAAGGCATGCAGTGAGCTGACAGGGGGTATCTCAGGTCATCCCTGGGTTTGAGGTAGGCTATAGGGGGGCTGCATGTATACCCACTGCATGTTGTCACGTAACCTATGTGGTAACATCTAAATGAACTGGATTTATTATGATTTAATCAAACAAAATTCGTTTATACCAACAATAGTAATTTTAGGGGTCAGTGCCAAAATAATTAACTCTTTCAAGGTAACTGCCCTTTTGCTCTTTTTCCTGTGTAGGGTGAAAACGACTCTCGTTTTTTAGCTTTCATCGACTCCTAAATAATACAAAAGAAACCTAGCGGTTTGAGCGGCTCATGAATAACTTGTGTAAAACAGCCACAGACTGAGGTACATGCGACTGCTATCAGATGCGACTCTGTCTGTGAGGCAACAGTATAAAATTCAGCTAAACACTAGCAAACATATAAAGAGTTTTCATTCATCGGTTTATGATGCCAAACGCAAAGAAGCTGCCAAGAGCGTATTCGGTTCTGACAGATGTAGTGGTGGCAATCAAACCGATGTGCATGCCTGAACACTAGTAATAAAGTAAGTTAGGCTACTGTGTAGCCCACGTGAGTGTGGTTTATTAAAGTTATTCAACAAAACTTACCTTAATATCTATGGTAGACCTGGAATGGTTAGGGCTGACATGACCGGAGGCAGTGGAGGATGCTTTTCGAGTGCTCAGGAGAATCGCGCCATTAGTTTGCGTGGTGTATCTGTTTCTGTCCTGAAGTGTGCCAGCAGCATCCCAAACAAGCGCGCATCTTTCACGCGCACAGCACGCGATGCTATTCAACAGCTCAACGCGACGCTCTGATTGGTGCGTCAAAGCGTTTCTCAAAATATCCAAACACTGGCCTTTGCCTGAATCACTTCAATTCGAAGCAAATATACAACTTTATAAAGTTGCGCTAATATACCAGATAGCAAACTGACATTGAATCAACGTGGAAATATGACATCGAAACAACGTTGATATGACATTGTTTTGCTAATCGAATTAACGTTGAACCAACGTCAGACGCGTCATTCTTTCAAAACTAACGGAAAATCAACTTGAAATCAACGCGTTGTTTCAACGTTATGAAAGCAAACCAATTTTCGATTTTCATTTAGCTTTGAAGAATGCCGCATCTGACGTTGGTTCAACGTTAATTCGATGAGCAAAATCAACGTTGTTTCAATGTCATGAGAGACGTCGTTTCCACGTTGATTCAATGACAGTTTGCTGTCTTTTATTCATTAAAAGGGTTAGCTATTCTTACAGTAGGCTAATTGTTATAAAAAGTAAAAAGTTATTCAAATGTTAGTTATTATATATAAGTTATATAATAGCCTGTATAGCAATGTATTTATAGTTATTTAAAAAAGTTTGTATTTATTTATTGCATTTATAAAAAAATAGTTAATAAACATATTTTGTTAACTCCCCTTACAAAAAATTGCCATTTCTACTGTCACTAAAAAATAAATAGGCTACAGCCATTATCATGAAAAACAGAAATACAAGATTCTAAATTAGAGAGATGATTCCATATTCATTTATAATTTTACCGTAGTAAAAATAACTAGCAATTGTTTCTATTTTCATTGAAATCACTTGGTCATGTACAGATCAAATTCACAGTGTCTTATTTGCAATGAGTGAGCGCCATCTGCTGGCCTTCCTAAAATTTAGCACTATCTGTGCATCTACTGCTATTGTGAATACAAGAAAGAAATAGTGTCACAAAATGAATGAGGAATGTTTTATTACATTAATAAGCTGCTGGATACATCTTATTAAAGTGCAATTTATAAAGCATTTGAGACAATTAGTGCTTTGTTCTAAATAGTCTACATCTCAAAGTCTACAATACATCAACTGGCAGGGGTGCATCGAGAACTACCACTTTATTTATTTTTGTGTTGCATTATTTCACACTGGATTTGCTGGTTTTGACAATAATCGAGCTGCCTGTGACTTTGGTATTAAAGAATTCAACCATGAACTGGTTCTTCAGTCTGTGGAGGAAGTGAATGTGCCTCACTCCCGGCCCATACTTGGAGAATACATGGGAGACCTATACACATTAAAATGTTATGTGGACACATGTATATATATAAAAAAATGAATATAAAAGTATGAATATGCATGTGTGTGCTACCTTTTTCCAGGTGTGTGAGTATTGCTCCAGGTTCTCTTCGGGGTTAAATGAATGCTGCTTGATGACTGTCTTAGCATCAGCACCCAAGAGCTTCACATCGAGCTGATAGATAGATTTATGAAGCTGGCTCTCCTCATACCTACACATGAAGGGAAACACCCACATATTAAAAGTGAAAGGGCATATTAAAGCTGCCATTTAGGCTGAAACGACAATCTCTAAAGCACTATGACCACCACAGACATGACAAAATACAAAATATAGTTATGTCGCAGATTAAATTGTTCCAATATCGCAGAAATTCATGTGATTTCAATGTGATTTTCAATTCAAATTTCAAATTTCAATGTGACTCCCGGACGAAGGCTTGTATGCCGAAACGCGACAGAGTGTTTTAATAGTGTTGATTATGACCAAGCCATAGAAATAAAAGCTTTTTAAGTTTTGTAAAGAGAGTGCCTTGGATGTCCCTGTTGATTTCTTTATGTCAGAAATTCATTCAAATTCTTTTTGTCCATTTTTGCCCATGTCCATTTTATTTTTTTTAGTTGTAAAACACTTGAATGTGTGGACACCAATAGATTGCATAACAGCTAACTTTGTTAGCTTAACTGATATCCAGATACATTTTTTAACTCTTCTTTGCAGCTCAGTTTGCAATTACTGTTACTGAAGATTGCTTAAACTGCAAATACCTAAGTGTATAACTAGTTCATAACTCACCAGTCCTCAATGACTATCTCAGGCTGAAACTCATCCAGCAGTTGGTCCCACAGACCCTCTGCCTTCAGGTCCACATGCTGCTCTAGAGAAAACCACCTGAGGTAAAGATACACAAAGGCCATATTAGACAGAAAATATGATCTTCTGCTTACCCTGACAAACTGACAAGCCAATTTCTTTCTAATATCTGATTCAAATACAAAGACCAATATAGCAACATTTAATATTTATTGCAATTCTGGGGTCCTACTGCATTTACTTAAAGGGGTCATCGGATGCCACAAGTTGGTGTGATTCTTTAGGGTCTTCATGTAAAGTTTGTAACATACTTTGATTAAAATTCCTCAATAGTTATTTAAAATTAGAAAAAAAAAAGACGCGATAGTGGAATACATCTCAATTCTCCAGCTGAAGTCATCTTTGAGGGAAACAAACCAGTTCAACCCAAGCGCTCTTTGATAACGCTATGATTATGTAACTGCAGATAATCTGTCCATCATCGTATAAAGCCCGCCCTGACAATTTGATTGGCCCGCCTAATTCTTAACCGATCATAACTGCTCCTCAATAGATCAAATCCAGAACAAACTTCCCGAACAAAAAATGTTGTGGGCGGGGTTCGTGGCTGACATCCAGGCTAAAAAAACATCCTTTTTCAGTGCCTGTCTCTTTAAATGATATTGAGCTACTCACCCCACCCCTCTCTTCTATGGGGGGTGTCGCACAAGACATATAAAATTCTGCCAACCTGACTGAAATGCAAAATGGCTTAGGGCGGAAATATGCTAATATGGGTCGGGACAGTCCGTCAGTGGTCGTAGGCGAGGAGTATACGCAATATGACATCATATTGCTCAGAAAACCAAATAACTTTATTATTGAGAGTATTTAGGCCTTTTGAGGATAAAAAATTTTCTTTCATTTTTTTTTTCATTTTATGGTGGTTGAGTCCACACACTGCAAAGACACATTTATATGCAAACACCGTATAAAAGTGAATTTTGCATTTGATTAGACTTCCCAGATAGCACACGTAGGACGTTTCCTGTCAGATGTCAAATAGACATTTAGAAGATGTCTTTAAGATGTAGGGGAGAGAGGGGCACAACGTAACGCTTTTTGACTTTCTCCATTTGTGTAAATCGTTTCCCACTTTAATTTCCCACATGTCTAGAACAATTACGTGGTTTTGTTTTGTTAATACATTGTATACTTTTTTCTTGATTTAACCTGAAAGAATGGAAGTGAAATGTGACAACATGCCCCATAGGTGGGGTACATTGTAACATGTGAGGGCTACATTGTAACATCGCCATATGACAGCTTAAATGCTTTCTGATCTAATAAAAAAAAAATAAACAAGTCAAACCAAAATATTTTCTTAATAAAGTACAATTATGAATTTTGACAGCAAATAACTTTACATCTGAGGCGCCCAAAGACTTAATTTGTCCATTATTTATTTCTAAAGAAACACAACAATGTATAAAAGGCTCCATTACCTTGTATCTTATGGTCCCGTAGAAACAGTTTTTGTAAAAATAGGCTAACGATTGCGTCATAACGAATCGACTCTCCGTCGCACAGCAGAGAAATTACCGTATAGACAGGACGAGAAGCTCGCAGGGAATCGCGGGGATAAAGTTGAGGGAGAAGCCCATAGAGAGTGTGATGGGAATTCTTTTTAAACATATATATTATATATGCTTGTGTGCTCTCACATAGATAGATGTGTTCTTTAAACACAGAGGTGTTCTTATCTTATATAGATGTGATTTTACACAAAAGTAGAGTGTGTCAAGGAAAATTACAAGATGTATTATCTGCTTTGCAAATAGCTAAATAAGTACCCTCTTTGCTGCCTGGTCAAAAGGACAGAACGTTTCTGCTTTTCTTAGCAATAGATAACTTTGAGTGCAGTAGAAGTCAGCCATTGTCTGGTTAGGTTTTCTTTAAATGACACATGTGTTTGCTGAGGAGATGCATTGATGAGGGGTGATAAAATAAGAGGAACTGAAAAAGTGTGTACATGCAGAGCCTTAGTCCAAAGATAAGAAGGGGAGGGAGTACATTTTGGAGGATGATCTTTTTTGTATATAAGCTCTGTAAAGTGAGAAGACTTTTGTCCTTCGTATATCATTCTGTCTGAGTGTGAACTGCCTTTCTTGCAAGAAATAAACATGTATACTTATGACTTCCGAGATATTCATTGTTCTTTAATTATTATTTAAGAGATAGGTACAAAATTTCCACAACAAGAGCCTTAAAGTTGATCCTGCTGCTAGCTCATGGACAGCTAATACTCACTCTCTCCGTCTCTGTGAGATTCGGACGGGAATTATTCAGATTTCACTGGGTACAGCTAAGAGAAGACATACAGGTTGCTCACGTGATAGGCTCAGTTTGAGCCTCTGCAGTACGCCTGGCTGTCAGCTTTTAACGGGCTTCAATTTTCTCTGTTGAAATCAATGGGATCGCTGTTGTAAATACACCAAGTTTCGTCATGCTAGCGTGTGAGGAAGTATTTGAAAACAAGTGTGTTACAACTAACCCCGCATTACGTTGTACCCCGCGCTCCCCTAATGATTAGAATGTATGTTAAATTGACATCTTAAAGATGTCTATCAGATGTTAGTAAACAGCAGATGTTTTTTTCAGATGAAGTGATCTTTAACAGACATCTTGCAGACGTATGTGTGCTATCTGTTCAAGATCGGTCTTGAGATCACTAAATCCGATGACCCCTTTAAGCTACAGAAAAGTTATTGGAACAGTTATTTTGTTTGTTTGTTTTTTTTTTTCTTGCACTTTTTTTTTTTTTTGCTAAATGACAAGTGACTAG